TGAGTATATCGAAAACTAAGGCCGATCGGCGGTAACATTTATAGGGAAAAGTTGTTCAGAATAACTTCGACAACACATTTCAAGGTCATTGAAATCGGTGAGGATGGAACCATTCCGAATAATTGCCGAAAAGCTTGTTTCAAATCACCTCACGAGTCTCCCATTTCCGGGTTTTCCAACATTTGTGTTACATCCTGTATATATCGTAGTCAAAGATACTGTGTATTATTTTAACTACATAACTACAACTTCTTCCCCACCACAAATTGTCGAAAATAAAATATAGTATGAAGTTTAAATTTGTAGTTGTGAAAACGTCTATCAAACAAATACAATTCGGAATCGATAATCGATTACATAAAATAATAATTTGTCGCCAAAAATGTTATAACTTTAGAAGACAGTTTTTCATTAGACTTTTATGATTTTGTGAATAATGCTTCTGTGAAGTTGACGCGTATAAGAATACTTGGCAATAGACGTTCAGTAATCCTTCATACACGGTATTATCATAAGTATTAATGTCAGTAATTTCATTACGTCACACTTTTATGTGAGAAAAGTGGAGTAATTTATTAAAACGATGGATGTTATGAATGACGTTTGGAACACTGAAAATCCTTATTAATAAAACGTAAGTAGATAACAAAGTGTTTCTACATCTTATAAATTTATTTTACTTTTGGACGAGAAATCACATACCTACTGTTCCTTCGTACAATAAACTGCATCTTGCATAAATCAAATGGTGGTCAATAATGAAATCTATAACATATTTTCCCCACCAATCCAATACAACGAATTTGTAGTCCAGGCGAATTAGACTTCAAAACCCCCATTTTAAAAAATAATCTTAAGTAACTATGTTTTTACATGAAAATGTTCGGAAAGTCATTAGAAATGAAACGTATACGTTTGAGACTCATGAAAAGTTGGGGAACATTGTTAAAAGAATTCGAAAAGAATCGAGGAACATGTTTTTCGCTTGCAGAAGGAAATGTAAAGATTTTAGGGAAAAAGAAGTCAAATAGAAAATGTAGGTATTAGACATACCTACATAGTGAGATATAGTACGTTACAATCGATCCACACATTAAGTTGCAAAAGAATTCTAACTGTTGAAATAGACTGTCTACAAAGGTCACTTCATGCTGCAATTTGGCACACTTCTTAACCGTAATGAAAACCACATTCTCTTAAGTATTAAACAACTGAAGAGACAGCCTACTTCAACAGTTAGAATTCTTTTGCAACTTAATGTGTCGATCGATTTTAACGTACTATATCTCACTTTTTAGGTATTTCTAATACCTACATTTTCTATTTGACCTCTTTTTCCCTAAAATCTTTACATTTCCTTCTGCAAGCGAAAAACATGTGCCTCGATTCTTTTCGAATTCTTTTAACAATGTTCCCCAACTTTTCATGAGTCTCAAACGTATACATTTCATTTCTAATGACTTTACGAACATTTTCATGTAAAAACATAGCTACCTAAAGTATTTTGTGAAAAAAGTTTAATTCGACTGGACTATTTGTATTTACATGTCATAATGCACTAAGTATTTCAACAAGTCGGAAAAATTGAGTTGTATTACATGTATATGAGAAGTTTACTAATACTTTCTTTATTAATTTGGATAGTTAAAAGAAATATTTACTGAACAAATTTGGAACTAGGATAATTCCAGTCTTTATCTATTTAAACGTTTACCTCGTAGTAAATAACAACTGCAAATAATTGTAAACAATACAGTTTGAAAAATAAACACCTAATTTCATTTAATCGTCGCAAATTAACATTCAAAAGGGTCCAGAGATTTAAGGCACCTACAATAAATAATTGAAAGCAAATAAAAATGGATTAATATTCCGTGATCTGAATAACATATTCCTATTTTCAAAGGCAGTGTATTCGATTTTTCTCCCATCGAAAGAATTCACCTTTTAATTTATCTCCATATTATTAACAATTAATTAGTACTATTTTACAATATAGTAATGTACATTAAATTTCGTGACATATGACTTCGAGAAAGAAAATTATCCGATATTCATAATAATTTTCATCTTCTAATTCATTTTGCTCCCAACAATTGTGTTTCATTACTAAAACTATTAAAATTCCTCTAATAGAGTTCCGAACTCTGTATTTTAAAAATTTAAATCGTTTACACACGTCGCGTTTTTTAATTTAAACGTATCTCTTCCCGTGGACTAGAAGGGAAAAATCGAACAAATGTTACGCAGAATGCAGTAGGGTCGCTTGGACCGCGGCACCTGCAGGTTTCTTTTATCCGCACTACGATTGTCATAGAAAACGAAGAATGCCCAAAACTCGTTTTGGGTATTGAAAATAATAACGTAAGACTAGAGTTCAACAATACATGCGGTTTTTAATCGCCGTACAGACACACTGGTGGGAGTATAAAAATATAAACATCTAAAAATGAAAAAAAAAAGCGAGACGCCATCAGAGAACTAATTGTGTCAGGGCTAAGAAAACACATGCGTAATGACGCGCTGTGGAAACGAACTGATCTCGGGAGTTCCATTCTCCACGACGGAGATTATGTTAGGCTGTGCACGTCTGTCTTTTCTCGGTTACTTTTGCGATATGTTGCACCGAGACACGGACTTGGAGTAGATTTGTCGATCCATTAAAAATTTAGTGGCGAATAAGAGACGAACGGACTAACGGTAAATTATCTTTCTTTGGAGAATGTTGCAAGTATAAACTTAAGGGGGCATTTTATACGGATTATTAAATTTTGTGTGATTTTTGGAATTGTGTTTGTTGATATCTTAAGAACGTACAAATAAATTTTTCTGATGTAATTGAATAATAATTGGCTATTTACTGCAGCATATAGAAAACTATGTATCCATGTTAGCAAATATTGGCACTATTTCTGACACGTCAGATTCAAAAATTTAATTAAATCGCAATTGATATTACGTTAGCTATTATCATACTAGAGTACAGCGTGCGAAATTAAAGTAGGTAAAACGATAACTCAAGTTTCGATAAATGTTTGGTTTTTTAAAAAGTTGTTAGGTAAGTAATTATTGTACTTAATTAAGATACTTATTTTTTATCGATGGATTCTTCATTAAAATATTATGGAAATAAGCTTAGAAAGGTTAAAGAAACACGTACAAAGTGTTTCTTATGTAGGTTCAATTTTTGTAAATTCATTATTTTCCGAAATTCTAGTGTAAAATTGAGGGTATATTTTTCAAAAATAAAACTATGAAATGATCTATTTCAAAAATTTAGATTTGTTTGTCTCTATGAATGAGAATACCCCCTCAAGAATAACATGTAAGTATCAACTCGTGTTACATGAGTTACTATTATTTGTTAGTTAGGAGGGACACATTTCGTCACAAATAAACAGCATTCGTTTAATTCCCTAAACACCGTTTAAATTTAATTTGTTTTTGTCTCTTTGTTCGCGGCATTCACGGTACATGAAGAAATGTTTTTCTTACTTTTGTCCGTTACTTTCGTCCTTATATTTTGTTTTAGACGCTCATTTGCAATTCGACACCTGGTGTACGTCTAAATCCGTTCCATTGTCTACCTACCTACACGCTTACTCTCTTATATTGTATAGTTCCGATTCTTTATATGATTTCTTTCCTTGCATATTTATATATTTATAAACTTACACATATATATATATACATATACATATATATATATATATATATATATATACACATATATATATGTATATATGTATAATAACAAACAACATTAATGATTAGGCTATTCTTTTAATTGGACAATAAATAAAATAGTTTATATGCCGCGATTCATTTTTGTTCTCTCGATATCCCTCAAACCAAGTGCATTTTTTCTTTATCATTGTTCCACTATTCTGCCTCCCTATATTTTGCCTTTGCATCACTGTCTATCCGTAATGTCCAAAGCTAATCGCACACAATTTCTTGTTCCCCGCCCCTTCCATTTTCCATCTATGTTTTCAGAACGGAGATCGATAGTTAGGAGCAATATATATATATATTTGGTATTTGCCATCTGTTCGACAGTTTGGCTTTGATACGAACGTTAATTAGACTCACCCATTCTCTGGCTACATTTGGAAACAGCTAATCGACTTACTATACGCACATACTATGACATGTTTTCAATTGTGTTTGATCCTCGATTATAATGTTTTAGCCCCCCTCTCCCTCTCTCCCCTTTCCCACTCCCCCCCTCCCCCTCTTCCCCTGTCGCCCTTCGCTCGCTCTTTCTCACATTCACATACATACACATAAGCACGCATTCACTTTCTCTCTGTTACTATTATTTTACAGGCCATCCTCGACGTGGCAGAGCAGTCTGGCACTTTGCGCGAATATTTCGTCTGTGCTCGTCTAAAAGGTGTCTATTCGACAGCGAGTACACGCAAAGCGGTCAATTGTTCTCCAGTTTGACGTAAATAGATAACTGGATCGGTAATGCGGGAGAATTAGTGGCGAAATCGGCCGGAAGGACGTGTTTCTTATCGGAATGCAAATTTTATTCGACACAGGATTGTCACGGTTCGTAGTCTTTGACGGGCTCGGTCGATCGGTAGTGGGATCGCACTCACCTCGAAAACCGAGAAGCAATTCCTAAACCTCACCTGAGCTCATTATGAAGAACGTCTACCGCGCGGGATCTAGCCAAATTACAATTCCTGAAGTAACAGAAATCGTCTAAACGCAGTCGATTCCTGTTCAGAATAATGCCAGAAGGCCACAAACCCTCTAAGATCACTGTTCCCTTCCCGGATATCTTGTCTCTCAGTGACTCTTCGGTCTCTCTTTGGCTCCGTCTGCCTTCTTCGTTTATCGACCATCTTCGACTAACACACAAGAAACAGTAGCTTATCGAAGACTGACGAATGAAACGTTTAACCGCTACAACAAAAGAAATTCTCGGCCAGCCACCTGTGCAGGCCAGACAACTGTTTCTCAGAAGAATCCTCGACTACCAGATCGTATCACTTGATCTCTTCCCGATTCGGTGAACGCGGAGAATGTGACGACAACGGAGCCTCTGACACCTGTCTTTTCGGCCGAAAGCTCGCCGTCAAGGAAGATATCCAACCACTGGGGGACTGTGAGTTCTGGTCGTGCAAGAAATCGCTGTTGCTGTTGCTCTTCGTGCTGTCTACGCTCATACCGGACTTGAATCGTGACAAAAGACCCGGAGACGACTTCTTTGTCGCCACTGGGGAAGAGAAGGCTGGCTTCTTTCTGGACTTGGTCGAATCCTTGCACAACATCGAGTCGAGGCTACCGGCATGAGGACGTTCTTCGGCTTTCTTTGGCTCCAACGATCCGAGCATCACGCTTTCTGTTTGTTTCGTCATCTTTGATATGTTCTCCATGCTCGCCGAGCTCCTTCTTATCTCCGCCTTACCCATGACCTCTTGCATTGCCTCCCTGGACCCACGTTCAGTCTTGACAATAATCTCCGGCTTCTGTTGCTTCGTGCGCACGTTGATCTCCCCGAATTCGATGTCTAAGCTCTTCTGCTCCTTCACTTCTCTCAGGCTCTGTGACTTGCCCTCGGGATTAGAGAAGTTCCGCCGATGTTTCGCAAGAGACGCTTCAGTTATTGCGCCTGGTAAAGTTTCCAATGAGGTTGACGATCTTTTTTCCTTGGCGAACACTGTCCTCCAGCTCTTGTTTTTACAATCTGTAGATTTTCTAACCTTTGGCAATGTCATCGCTCTCTTGTCCACCGATGACAGTTCAACCACGGTCGCGATAGCCTTAGTTTCTTTGGCCACAGATTTCGCGAGGTTGCACCGTTTGCAGACCGACAGTGAATTATTAGGTTTAAGGGAAGTGGCCGCTACGGACGCGTTGCTTACCGAATAACTCTTGTTAAACGTCTTTATTACGTGTTTGGTCGGTTTCGGTGAAGGAGATTCTCTCGAATCGAAACTAATGTTCAGCCGATCCGTGAAGTTTCTTAATCGAGAAAAGATAGACTTGTGGTTACTAGATCCCGTTTTGTCATCACAGCAACATCGCAGTGCCATGGTTTCTCTTTGAACTTCTTTACGACTAGACCTGACGTTTTGATCATTTTCCACAAAACTACTCGTCCTTTTTAAGTTGTTGCGTTGAGTTTGGACTACAATGTTACCGTTTCCTTCAACGAGTCTGCCTTCGCTAAGTTTTACGTCCAGCAGAACCATCTCGTTCTTCTCCAGCTCCTCTAGGATCCTCGTACCCTCCGCTGATCTTGCGCTAACCGGGGAGCTCAGGTCACTACCAAGATTCTCTCCTTTACTGCGTCTTCTTTCGTGCTCTCTGACAGCCCTGGCCAGGTCGTGATTATGATAATCCAGTGAAGACTTCTCCCGACTACCCTTCCGGCTACCCGGGTAGCTTTTCCTACCTGTCGATGGACCCGCTAGACCGCCCTCCGTGGAGATCTTGAACTTCAACGCCTTTTCGCTGACCTCCACCTCTGTGGCTGTCTCTGGATCGGAGCTCTCGAGATTCTCAGCGTCCTCTGTCGTCAGGTTCTCGGTGATGTCATCTTCGGTGGATCGCGATCTCGAGTGAACCGTGCCGGTGGAATGTTTCGAGCGCATGCTGTGCGAAGAAGTGGATTTCATTACAGTCGATGAAACCATGCCACCGGGTGTCGAAGCTGTAGGCGTCGATTCACCCAAATCTGCCACGCTCTTTCTATGGTGACGTTCGTCCTTCGCTGCTTCGTTCAATCTGCGGTAGTACTCTAGGGCTTCCCTTACTGGTTGGACTATTAGACTCTAGAACAGAGTTATTTTTTACTTTTGTTAGCCACGTTAGAATGTTATAGGTTTACAATAACGATAATAGTAATACTGCAGTTTGCTATACTTACAAACTACAATTTAGTAAATGAATAGAATGTGACTAATGGAACGTACAATTACGAGAAACAGAAGAAATTGAAACAAAATGAAAGTCAACAAAAAGTATGAATGTTTGTCGTTAAGTCTAATCCTTGTTGATAACAGTCATCTGAGAAATGAAATTACCTATTGTTACCAAGTGCAAATATAATATGACCTAGACTCGTGTTTGCAGCCTTGAGCATTTGTTGAACACTTAACAAAATTAGGTGAAAGTGTCGGTCAAAATGTATTTAAGTTAACCTAAATTTGGCACGGTATACCATTATTACGCCATATGTTTTTCATTCTTCAAAACTGAGATGGAGGTAGTTCTTGAGTCACATGGAGCGAGTAGCTCGTTCCGATTAATCTAGAATTATACTGCTATTAGGATGTTCGAATATGTTTTTGAAATTGTAGGTCGGAAAAATTAAATCAGAAGTAGGTGTCAAGAGTTCATTTGTGTTTTTTTAAACATGTTCCGTGACCATCGGTGGCTCATAATACACTTGCCGTTCTGGTTACTGGCGATTGTTACTAACAGTACAATATGACCTAATATTTATTTATTATAATTATTGTAGGCGGATCAAAAATACAGCGTTTCGTCTTGGGAATCGTCTATCAAGACTCGTTAGTGGGACTGACGGTAGACGACCCCTACCCCAGGCGCCTGGGTTGCTCCTCGGCGGAGCCCCTTAAAGTAGCCAAAGGCTGTAATTATCGCTTGCGAGAAAACTCGCCACCTAGCGGTGGTTACCAAAAACTCAAGCGCCTGGGAGAAACGTCTCCACAGACCGCCTTGTCCTATCAAATCTCCTACATTATTCAGTGAAAGTGTTCACATTGTTACATGTTGCACTTCATACGTCACACTTTAGTCACACGTTAGTAAAATTAATGTTAATAGTTAGTGAATTGATGTTCATTTGAATCGAAGTCATTTTTGGTTTGACACGTAAAGTGTTAAGACTAGAGACATTAATAGACATACCTGCAACTCTGGTAGCAATTCCCCGAGGGCTTCAAACAAAGGGAGTAATACCAGGCCAATAAAGCTAACCTGGGATGAAGGTTTGGTTACTTTGTCACGATCCATGAACGGTGTTACTGGAAGTCCCTCAAGTTTCTCGGCGTCGCTTTGCTTAAAGAACTCTTGCAGCAGCCTATCCAGCCACGGCTCTGCGACTTCCATTGGCCGTGCCTCGTTACTAATATCCGCTACTTTAATGAGGATCATTGATAACTGAAACAGCAAATCATAATTTAATCTTATACATCGTAATTTATGATTTTTAGGTATGGAAGGTATCGAAGTATGTGGTTATAATTGAAATTTTTTTGTTCATATAACTTGGATGATACGCCGGGTTGGACGCGTGGGTGAAGGCTCCCCTAAAAGGAGAGAGAGAGAGGGGAGAGGGGGACAGGGAGAGGGAGAAAGAGAGGGAGAGGGAGACATAGTCTTACTTCTAACATACCGAAGGTTGAATTACTAAACAAAGTATGTACTATGTTACAACAATTTAAGGAAGAAAGACTGGTATAACCTGCCCAGCTTTTATCGTTTTTACAGGTTTTATTTTTTACTGGAATAAATACAAGTACCATTTATGTACAACATATACATTTATTATTCTACTTATGAAGTCGTTCGCAATATGTAGTACTATTTATAGGAAAAAGATTAAGCAAACAGTGTAATATATATTTGTTAAATGAATTGAAAATAATCTGATCTGTAATCATAATTTACAAAATTATACGTAGTATGCGTTAAGGTTGACGCTGATGTTACATCCCTAACTTAATTAGTGTCTCACTACGACACCAATTGTTGTTGTACTCCACAATGCGAGGCTAATTGGAAGTTCAAGATGTCCTTAGTATAAAACAAAAGTAGATGGATCATAATGTCTCCGAATGTTCTGCATTCCAATTTAACTCTCCTAAGATTTTTCTAAATATTTCAATGTATCTAGCAAACACCCTATGTATACATATTGTTCAAAAAGATGACTTACCAAATTGATATGGGCTTTGCTAGAGTAATCGAATTCCGGGATGACATCGGTGAATTGTCCGAGTATCTCGTTATGCCTGGCCATATCCGTCGCGAGGATGCATCTGATGATACCTTCGCGTACTATTCGATATGTCGCGTTATCCAAGGAGGCCAATATGTTGCATTCAGGTGCCTCTAATAAACGAAAGGCCACAGAGCAATGGTGGTTCTCCAGAGGCGAGATATCGTTGTATCGTAGAGCCAACTCGGTACGGGCGTTTATTTGATAAATGTTGTTGTAACCCGGATGATCTAGGTCGTGGCAGATGCAGGAGACGATGAGTATAAAAACCTCGAGGTGACCGATTCGTGACGGCAGATCAACTGCCCAGGCTATCGCGTACATCTGCGATGTCACAGGATTGATTAACATAGTTCCACAGTATTTTTAAGGTATACAACTAAGTAATCCACTATCTTTTGTCAAATTCAATACCTAATTTGTAAGAAACCTATGCCATTTCAATGGTACTCGGTCACGTTCTTCGATACTCGCCACCATGTTTAAAAAAGAGAACAGGACAAAGATGTTTGGAATTTAAACCGTGTTAACAGTTTGTTAAAAAGAAATAGTGGATTACTTATTAGTGTACCTAATTATCAATATTGTTTAGACTACAGTAAATGTTTGAATATTTTAGAAAACAATAAATTCTTTAACACATCAACCTCCAAGGAATTGAATCACATGAGACTGCGATGAAAAATTTTAGTGTAGCTTTATTTTGAAACGAAGCTGAATGGTAAAAATGCAAATTTTTTAGAACAATTACGATAATTTAATACGAAAATACTGTTGTAATAGTGTATCGCGAATATATTAATTCATAATATAACTCACTTTATTTAATTATTCCATTTATTCACTTGCAGTTAGTAGCATATTATTAGTGTCATTGTAATTATTCCATATTTTGCAAATTTCTCGTTGAGACAAAGACAAATTATACATTTCTTCTCTTAATAATTATAAATTTCTCTATCAAATAAAATTAGATTTATTTAATTAACAACATATCTCGTTATAAAATTAGACTCATCCCTCTAAGACGTATGATTAGCAGGGGTGTGCGGGTACCCGAAATCACGGGATTACACAAATATTACTACATACAGTAGACTCCAACTTTAATGCCACTGAAAATAATGCCACATGAGTCACTTCCCCTTCACACGTACTTTTGCGCACATACATTCGCTCTCCCACCATGTTACGTACGCTGGCGCACTAGCACGATTTAGCTTTTGCGCAGGCGTTGAGACCGACGCCATGGGACAGAATTTAGCATGGAGGGGGCTCGAAATTTAATGCCATTTTACTCTCCTACAGCCCCGAAAATGGCATTAAATTTAGAGTCTACTGTACTTATTTTTTTATAGCTCGAGATTAATGATTTGCACATCTCTGTAAACAGCACAAGTTATCAACGATCAGTCTAACTCAATAATGTTGACTACTAGTACTACTGAATAATGTTGCACTTTATTACTAGTTCCTCCAAAAAGGTAGTACAAATTACCCCGAACCCAAAAACGAATTTCAAGAGGAGCGGTACGGTATTGCGTTACGTTCAACTGATACTTTAATATGCAAACAATATTCAAAAATGTTAATTTCAGATGTCGTTAATAAGTTACTCGGAAAGGGTATATAAAATCTACACATGAAGACACAACGCATCGTAATCAAAACGGGAATGCAAGATCCGCAGTCGGTAGATAATTTTCCACGCTTCTCGACGTTCTTTGGTGTATCATAGTGTATACCTACCATTTGCGCCACGCAGAAACAGTGCCTGAAGTTATGAAATGGCACTTCGTTATAGTTGTTGTAAACTTCGTAGAGGAAGTTCCTTAGGATTGGTAAAGGAATGTTAAATTTTTGAGGTAGGTCTAGCTCGACGAGCATCATCTGCAGCATCAGTAGGAGTTCTTCGTCTTCCCACTGTCGCGCGTCGAACGCCGGCGAACGAAGCCACTCTCGAACAGTCGATGCCACTGACATGTCGCTGAAATGCAATCAACGATATTAGTATTCATGCACCGACCGACAGAAAGAAACGCGACATTTGGTGAAGATTTAGGAACTATTGCGTAACGTGTTATTGCCGTCGTTTTCAGATATCTCTAAAGTCAGAACTGTTTTTTGCATCATTGCACCTATGATACTCTTCGTGTCTTGCGTCTTTCCTGAATCTTTAACTACAGTGCAACAAAATTATTAGACTATGCAGGGTGGGGTAGAATTAGTTGCACAACCGGACAGGTGGTTATTCTATATGCAAAAACAAGTTAAAAACGTGCAATTAAATTTTTTCGTATAATGCTTAGTTATCCAAATAATCGAATTCCAAACTCTGCTGGGCACGCGTGCAATTCAATAGAACTTGGTTAACCCGTAAGTACATTACATTCCCTTTTTACTTATTGTCAGCACGAATACATATATACATGGTATCTCAGCTAACTTGATCACCTCGAATAATGACTTAACGGTACACTTTATGAAAGTTTAGAGGCATGGAACTTAAATGGCATCAAGGGGCACGTCTTATAAGCTATGTGCTTCTTTGTGGGTGAAGGCATTTCAGAGATTTCAGGGTCACCTTCATTTTTTTTAACGGAATAACCTATTCTTTGTACCATAGATCGATATAGTAACAAAATCTGAGTAATAATGTGTTGACCTGCATACATCCTAAACCTAATAGTTAACGAGATATCTACAAAATAATCGCTGTATTGAAATTGAGGGACATCAATTCGAGCACCTATAGCTTCCAGATAGTAAGTACGTATTAAAAATTATTTTATAAATAACTCGTTAACCCGTGACTCTCCGCCCCCGCATGAGTACTTCACTTCCTTCATGTGGCTCGGGCCTTAAAAAGTTGGAGCGGTTGGAAAGTCGGGGGAAATATTCTCCTCGGGTAATGTCCACGGTAGTCTCAATTGCGAGACTATGTGATAGCCACCGGCGCCAAAGCCAAGGTTGGGCCTTGGAGGGGAGTATCGAAACTCCCCTCTCCCGACCGATTATGTTCAAACTAAACTAAACTAGGTTCTCCCTTGAACAGCCCCGGGGCCGGGGCGTGGCAGTTTGCAAGGGCCAAAATAGGTGGGGGGCTCCTGAAATATTCGGGACATAGGCAGGTAACATCTGATCAGGGGGGATAACATCTGATAGGCGATATAGCTCTCTCTCTCGACGGCGGAATACGACGATGTACACCCCCAGAGAACAAGCCCAGCTTGTGGGGCGATAAGAATGAGCTGGTACTCACCTATATGGGAATGAGGGATATGGTTGCCCCGACGTTCGACAGCTTAGCTTTAAACAATTAGTACACTCGTGCCTCCAAGTGGCCCGGGCCTAATAAAGTTGGATCGGGTGGAAAAGAAGGTTATAAGTTGAACTCCGGAGGGGCCCCTGCAGACCACCATATCTGCTTGAGTAGGCTGATACACCATTCTTCGGCTCGCCCCCATTGGTAGGATAGTGCATCGACACTCAATTCCCCAGAGGAAAAGCTATCAGTAATCAGCAATCAATAGGTTCTCCCTTCATAAACACCTAGAACGCGGTGGTGTCTCCTGATGTATCTGACATTTATGCTCCCAGAGGGAATTTCAGAGAAGTCCGATGGGGCAACACTTAGCGTCGCGTTCCTTGCAAATTTTCCAAGGGCGGGGGTAAATCGCCGTCTAGGCTAATAGGAAGGAAGGGGGTGGGGGACAGACAGACATACACCGTAATAAACAGAGGACGTGACCTACTCTAATCGTTTTTCACTATCTTAAACTCAATACTCAAGCTGTAGCGAGACTAAATTCAGTCGCGATGAATTCATTTATGGTTCATTGCGCTTCCCAGGGGATGAGATCGTGCGAACCCGGCCACATCCCTACTAGAGGCCGGCTAGCAAGGCCTCCCCATCTACTTTATTGGAGCACCGGTGCTCCTTCCTTATCCTTGGGGACGGAAGGTGGTAGTTTATAACTAGGTAAACAGAGGAGGGGGTGTTCCTGAGATATTCGGGACGCAGACAGGTCATGTTAGGGGGGTTGAAATAGGCGATCTAGCTCTCTCTCAATGATGATGATATGACGAAGTGACCCCTATTTGTACAGGTGCGGCCTGTGGGAGAAGAAAGAGTGAGCTGGTACTCACCTAACCGGAGATGAAAGATGTGTGATTCCCCGACGTTCGACTCCATAGCTTATAAACATAGGTAGTTATGGGCCGTCCTAATGACTTTCCAACCCCTGACAAGTACATTTGACTCTTCATGTAGCCCGGGCCTTAAAAGTTGGGACTCGTGGAAAGCCTCACTGTTAAGACACCCCGGGTAAAACTACCCTTGGACCCTTGGGTCCATGTGAAGGCTGGCATTATAACTCTCTGCTCGTGGTCTCGGAGGGGGTCCCGAAACCTCCTCCCCCGGGTGACCCCGTGTTCACTAATCACTAAACTAATCACTAGGTTCTCCCTTAAAGTCTAAAAGTAGCACCAACTTGGTACGGCAACATTTTAAAGTTACAGAAAAATCTGTGTATATTATTTTGCGTACATTCCTTGTTAGTGTAATTATTGTGAAACAAAAGTGTAAACATCTTTCAGAATTAATTAAAGTAGAAACATTATTTTATTCACATGAAATGAAATCGGAATAGGTCATTCGCTATAGCAATATATCAAGTATTTTATAAGTGGGTTAAAATGAGTGATATTTCTTTGCTTTTATTTTTATAGAAGCTGAAAAGACATACTTAACGACCTTCAACAATATAATATTCGGATCAGCTAGTTTTAAAATATTTCAACTTGAAAACAATATCTCTTTAAGTTACGCCTCGGTACGTACATGGGCTCTGATTTGAAATTTGAAAGTTTACTTTCGTTCTGCTCTCCAGAAACGATAAATATGGGTCAAGCATAATAAACATTTAATGGGTCTTGAGACCCATAAAAGTGTAGTCATAAATTCAATCTTTGTATAATTAAGTACTTTTCAGAAGAACATAAAAACTGTGTGGAAAAATTATGCGCGAAGGGTTTAGGTAAATTTTAACGTTATCATATTCTTGATTCAATGTCCCTGTTTCTGAACATAAGTAGATAGAGCATAATGAATATAGTTATAATATGTAGTATACTGAGGTTTCAAAGACCAATGACTTCGGTAATATTCGATTGATCCAGCTAAATATTATGTGGTTTAAAGTGGATCACATATTGCAGTATTCCAGCTTTTATCATGTGTATTTTTCAAGACCTCACAGTATTACTTAATTTTAAGCGGAAGTCAAATTCTTTTTATAACCAAAATTGCAAATTATCGTAAAACAAATTAAACGTTACGTATTACAATTACCTTCAAAAGATTTTATACCATTCATAATAAATTACAAAGAAGTTTAGCAATTTTAATTCATTAGTCACTTCAATTTACCTTTATTAATAGCAGTTTTGACATACATAATTTATATTTGAAAGTGGTAGTATCAATCTAAATGACAACAAAAAGACAAGATCATCAATAAGTTGCGAAGAATGGAAATTCATAACGTCATAATATGTAACGTAATAATGTGTTACTAATCTAGAAATTGTACATACTTTACAACTATTTTTGATACATCAAATTACATTTAGGTTACTTGTTGTTCCACTGATAAAAAGGATAGAAAACCAGGCAGTAGTTCACAATTTTATATTATGAAAAAAATAACCATACAGTTGGTTTTATATCCCTTTGGAACTAAACACGCAACACTCAGTTCCCCTTGTATGACATCAATTAGATTAATGCGTCGTTCAGTAATTCGTCGTATGTAAGTTGACCAGTATTTAGTATTGTGCGGAATAAGGGGTTATCCGCTTATTGAACTAAATCAACATGGAACGCAATCTTACGACAGATTGGAATTGGGGCCATTGATGGAAAAAGGGCATGGCATATAGGCGTATCTGCCCTTTTTCCGTAAATCGTCTCAATCGACTCGGGTATGTGTTATATACAGGGTGTAACAAAAATATTAGAGGACCCAGAAATGGAAGACTCGAGAGGTGATTGAAACATGTTTTTCCTTAGCAAAAATGTTATCCGAGGCTTTATTAACGAGATATGAACGAAAAACCACCAGTTTCCGCGGTAATGTTGGCTACCAATCGCAGCGCATAACCAACGTTACCACGGGAACTCGGCAGGCAGACTCGCGCTCTGATTGGTCGGGGTTTTTCGTTAATATTTCGTTAACATAGACTCCGATAACATTTTTTCTAAGGAAAAACTTGTTTCAAATCACCTTACGAGTCTCCCATTTCCAGGTCCTCCAACATTTTTGTTACACCCTGTATATGTCTATGGTTAACGACGTATATATAGAAACAAGGAAGGCTTCAGGTAGTTGCGGGAAAGGTGACAACTTGGAAGACCTCTAGAGGTGAACATAGGAGGTAGTGCTGCCACATTACTATAAGGTGTGTTCATACCTTTGCCCTGCGGGGGGCGCGATTCATAGGGATCATACCCGCGATGACCCACCTTTCGTGGTAGGCCCACGAGGACACAGCGTCGAGAGCTGACCCCTCGACACTATAGGTAGGAGATGGTGGGACGCCATGCAGCCGAGGGTGCATTGCTCCCCTCTCCTTCCCCATAGAAGAGCCCCCCCTCAAAGGCTAGAGGGAGGGCAATGGCGGGGCTGGTCACGGTGAGTGGTCGAACGATCCCGCGGCCAGCCCTCACGCCCGAGAGGGTCACCGGGGGGTTTTTAGCGTGGTGAAATCCCACATGCACCTATTCAAGCCTTTCCCCGTCAAAAAAAAAAAGGGTTTGTTCATGAAAACTGTGTATACGGATGTCTGTTACAGTTTCTTTAACGATTTCCTCTAATTAAATATACATTTTTGTCAAAGAATATTGGAAGAATATTTTCAATCAATTTCTTCTTCTTTGCTGTAAAGACTTTCGTATTTGTGATATTATTTTCTTGTAAATAAGTTATTACAAAATTCAGTTAGGTGTATATACAAGTAATGGCCGTCGTATTTAAGTTGGTGCTGTGGTTTTATTCTTAGTATCCTCAGAGGATTCAATTTTTGCTAATATATGGAAAGAAAAAGTTATAGAAAGTATGTAAGTAGAACTGTTTCCAGTATCAGATGCTGCAGCAATTGTTCATTGTTATTAAAGATTTCCGACGTTAAAACGGCCATTACTTTGAAGTCTCACCAGATATATCAAACTCAGGGATAAAACTTATAGTAAACCAATCATTAGAAATTATTCTTTACATATCTTCAAATTTCCGAATATTCAATTCTGTGTGTAAACTGTGTATACCCAGTTTCGTATACCGCATAACTTCCTTCTTCTTCAAATTTCACCGGTTTGGTTCATTTCACGAGAAAATCAACACATTCGTGTACCGGGCGTTTTCCATCAACTACGCGGAATTACAGGCCGTGTATGAAGTAAAAAAGAAGGTATTTGGACACAAAGCTCGAAAGTAAAAGAAAGCACAGGCCAGCTGTAAAGAGGGCACTTTTTGTGGACTCACCAGATATTGAGGAACTTTTCCCGCACCTTCCGCTTCATACTGTCGCTCCTCCGACGATACTGTAATCTGCGACAAGAATCCGCGTAGATGGGCTCCGGAAGCTGTTTGTAAAAACCTGAAAATACAGAGGCCAGGTGACCGAAATGAAAACTTGAACCACGTTTCGTTAATCGAACCGTGTTCCCGATCGAACGAAATTTTATTCTACAGCCATTTTGTAAATCTTAAATGATTTAAGAATTCTTTATTTGCGCCGGAAAATGCGAGAAATTACTGGAGAATACAAACCACATAATTCGTTACGGATGGTATATGATACTGTTAGCGTACACAGCCAGGTAGTTGGCTGTGGAGCGTCCGCGCACGGTTGCTGGTCATTTTAGCCCTCGAGCTCAAGGCTTCGAGGGTAATAAAATGGTTTGCAGCTGTGCGCAAAGATTTTCGGTGCGACAGGAAAATTTCCGTTTAAGTGGTCAGGAGAACTTTCTCTTTTATGGGGTTTCTTCATCCCCCGAAAAGACAGTGTGTGCAGGCGAGGGCATTCAATCACGAGCACTCGCCGAGTAAAGTTACTTGCTGAATCATTCGCTATCCTTAACAACAGGGCAAGTTCTAACTGTTGTTCGAAAACTAACAGTATTAATTCCTTCTGGAATTTGTTTGTATATATTAGCGAGTAGTGTGTAAATAAACTTTAGCACAGTTATCGTTGTGTACGGATTCCTTTCTCCACGGCACCACCTCAATACATTACATATTTCTGTATGTAGCGAAGATGTTACATTCTAAAAGTGTCAGTTCTTGTTTCCAGAGATTTTCTAAACATTAGGACAGTTTGTATAGTTGTCAACATAGTCCACAGTTATAATTGGTAACGTTTCAATGCGAGAAAATTATTTTAACATAATTATTTCGAAATATTTATTTAGAAATTTGTCAATAGAAAATATATATTCATAAAGATATGACAAGATTAGCTACAGTAGCGCCATCTACGATTTTTCGAAGTTTTTCTGTAGCATATTATCCTTTACATAAATTCAGGAAACTTTTGTGTTTAATATTCTTTATTTCCATCAGGTTTCAAATTATACAGTTAAACAACTTTTAAACCTCGAACTTTGTAAAATAGTTTAACCCCCTGAATGCGAATATGAGTCTGCGAATATCTTACAGGCTTTTCGATTACTTCTATTCAAGCAGTATCATTGACATAGGATATTAAAAAATATTCGTCTATTTCGGAATCAAAATGTCAGAATCGCGTTCGTCATAAAGAAATAGGACAGGGCGAACCAACGCCGATTTGCTGGTTTCGTCCCTGAGTTACCACGTGCGTTTACGGAATCTGCGCAACTCTGTTCGAACTATCGATTATCTATCCATAATTTTTCGGTGATCGATATTCTTGCAACCAATCCGGCGGTTCTCTGAAAATCCTAACGAATTTTTACCTAAACCCAGTAGAAACTTCGCTGCTAGCCGAACATTCTGTCGTGAACCTTTGTAGTAATCGCAGATCTTAACCATCACTTCGTATTCTTTTCAGGATAGAATTAGCTATCCTAGGGCTTGCCCTGCGGGGGGCGCGATTTATAGGGGTCACAACCGCGATGACCCCTCGCGCCGCGGCGGTGGTGCTGGGGGTACCACCTCCTTTCGCGGACGGCCCACGAGGAGACAACGTCGAGAGGCGACCCCTCGACGCTGTAGGTATGAGGTGGTGGAACGGCATATAGCCGTCCCGGGGGCGAAGCAATGCACCCCTCCCCCAGAGAAGAGCCTTCCCTCAAGGGCTTGAGGGAGGGCAAGGGCGGGGCTGATCGCGGTGAGTGGTCGAACGATCCCGTGGCCAGCCCTCACCAAACCGCGTCGCGCATAGGAACTGAAATTAGGCAGTTCGACCGTTTTTCTCCGGTTTTCGAAATTGGATGATTTCCTCGAGACTTGCGCCCGTTCGTTACAAACAATTTCGCTTCCACCTAAATCATCTAAAGTAAAGTCAGCCGAAAATTCGAAAATTAAGTCCGTGCGGCTGCGATCCGTGATTTCTTATACGATGACGTTCAGTATTGCGAATTGCCCGTTGTGCAAAGCGAATCACAGCCTCAGTAAGTCGGTCCGGTGTTTCGCGATCAACCTGTTTCGTAGCGCTTTGAATACGTGAAGCAAGGGAAACTGTGCATTAACTGTTCAAGCTTGAAGCATCAACTCCGCGATTGTCCAAGCGTTTATACGTGTGAAAAATGTCGTAAGCGACATCACTACATGCTTCACTTTAGCAATACAACCGCGGCGACGGAAAGTGATCACAACATGCCAGTACACGTTCGAATAATTCATCAACGCAAGTAGTTTTTCTGTCCGTTTCGAAAACGACCGCGCTCCTGTCACGAGTAATCTTAGCGACCGCCTGAATCGTTGTGCATGCGTTTTCCAATCATCCGATACGCGTCCGCGCTCTTCTCGATCAAGGATCCGTTGTTTCCTTGATAACCGAAAACCTTGCACAAGGCCTAAGGACACCGCGATCTCGCGTCTCCGTTTTGATCACCGGTGAGAGGGAGACTTATTGCACGCATTCGACAACACTCACTATCACGCCTCGTAGAAGAACGGGCACAGAGTATACCACTACCGCGTTAATCGTCAAAACGCTTTCAAATTATTTACCGCCTCGCACAAGCGGAAATTTTAATTTAGAACACATTCGTGGTCTCGATCTCGCGGACGAGAATGCCTTCAGCTCAGATCCTATAGAAATGATTATTGGAGCTGACATATACGGATCATTGTTGTTGGATGGCGTCCGTAAAGGCGCCTCCCACGAACCAGTCGCGCAAAATACAACTCTAGATTGGATCCTCTCTGGTCCCATTCCCTCTGTGGTCCCTCCGGCTGCTCACAACCTTCACACTCTAGTTGTATTCCGTCCGATATATTAGATACCAAACTTCGTCGATTTTGGGAGGTTGGACAGGTACCGTCGCAGACACATCTCACTCCCGCAGAGCAAAACTGTGACAAACCCTTTGTCAACAACCATACTCGTATCGCAAATGGACAATATTGTGTTCGTTTGCCTTTCGTTCAAGGACCACCGATCGATATTGGTTCGTCCCTTCCCGCGGCGAAAATTATGTGGTTTCGACAAGAACATCGCCTTCAGGGAAATCCAGAGCTTGCGGCAGAATACTCGACCTTTATGCGCGAGTAAGAAGTGTCTACGCTCTCGACAACCTTTCCCGCGAGGGAGTCCACTTCTGTCGTTAAACGTTTACTTTGACAACGCCGGATTGATTCGCGTGAGTGGACGCTTGCAGAATTCGGTAATGCCTGAAACAGCTAAACATCCGATTGTGCTCGCGTCACATTCCTCATTTCCTCAATTCATAACTGTGCTTTGCATGCTGGACCACAACATACTCTCGCAACACTCCGCCAAGAATTTTGGCTCCTGCGCGCCCGACCAACCATTCGCGCGATACTGTATCATTGTATTCCGTGTACTCGCGAAACAGCCACTCTTGTATCGGAGCTGATGGGAAATCTTTCCGCTGCACGCGTAACACGCGCTAAACGCGCATTTCTTCATAGGGGTGTGGGTTATGCTGGACCCGTTCTTGTACGCATCGCCGCCGGACGCGGGCATAAAGCGAAAAACGCGTACATCGCACTATTTGTATACTACATGACCCGCGCGATTCATCTGGAACTTGTCAGTGACTATTCGACCGCAGCGTTTCTCGCGTGTTTTGATCGTTTTTGTTCTCGTCGAGGTCTCCCGATAACAAGGTATGTAGTAGCGTTGAAAAAATGAGAGGGCCCAAGGGGGATTTCAACTCACTACCCCCGGCGCCAAAAGCAGAGACTCTACCCAGGGATGGAAAAAGAACCGTTTATGTGATAGCGGTTCGGTTCCGGTACTAGAACCGGTTCTACTTTACGAGTGGCTTTACGGTTCCAGTACTAGAACCGGTTCCATTTTATGAGTAACGGTTCTATAGTATAGAAGCGGAACCCTTAATTCAGAACCGGTTCTTTCGTCGGAAGCGTTCTTTATACGCTCAGTGGCTGAAGCGGCAACGTCAATGGAAACATGTGCATGCGCGTGTGTGTGCGCGTGTGTGTGCGCGTGCATGTGACGTAGGTCAGATTTTTCGAGAATACTCCGTATTCTAGAATATGCACGACGCAGCTGGCGTAATTAACAAAAAACAGTCAAGAATGAATGTGTGTCTGCGTGCATGTGACGTATGTCAGATTGTTCGAGAATACTCCGTATTCTAGAATATTCACGATACAGCGGCAGCTGGCGTAATTAACAAAAAACAATCAAGAATGAATGTATGCGTGCGTGCGTGAGAGATGCACATACATAGCACATGGCAAGGGGCTCCGGAAAATTCTGGAAGGTTCCAAATCCGGAATCATGCAGCGTGCCGCCTACAAGAATAATTAATAATTAATAATCAGAAACTCCGGAAAACTGGTTCTAATACCGGTTCTAGTACCGGTTCCAGTACTGGTTCTAATACCGATTCTAGTACCGGTTCCAGTACCGGTTCTAAGATTGGTATTTAAAGGCAGAACCGGTTCTCACAAAAGAACCGACATGAGGTTCTTAGAGTGGTTCTCTTATGGAACCGGTTCTGTTATGGAAGCGGTTCTTGAATACAGAAACCGGTTCTAAACGAACCGGTTCGGTTCTTTTTCCATCCCTGACTCTACCCATTGCTCCACGGAACCCTCCTATTTTCCAATGATGTTATTTGACAATGGAACAACGTTCCAAGGCGCCGAAAAGGAACTAGACCGGTCGTTTAAATCCGTTACTCGTGATCCCGATGTCCTTAATAAACTCGCGACCAATCGAATCTCGTGGATTTTCATTCCATCCTCAGCCCCATATTTCGGCGGGTTTTGGGAAGCAGGCATTCGCAGTACTAGACATCACATTAAGCGCGTTATCGAAAATCATACGTTGATATACGAAGAATTTACCACCGAACTGTGTCAAATTGAAGCGTGTTTAAACTCTCGCCCGATCGCCCCCGCGTCTGATAATATTGACGACTATTCCGTAACACCCAGTCACTTCCAAATCGGCTCGGC